CAATTGGGTTATCTAAGAGGGGCCAGGAAGGGTGGAGTGAAAGGAGACAGGAGAAAGCATAGCTCTCCGAGTAACCCTCCATGCACTGGAAATTCAGTAAGTACCACCACAATCAAGCTACGGGACTCAGCCATCACCCAAAAAGATTTCCGTTGAACAAAAAAAAAAAGATTTCCTGTAGTAATGCCAGCACTGTAGAGACTGCGGCAGGAGGATTATCAAGTGAGTTCAAGGCCAGCCTGAGACCATCTCAAAAAAAAAAGTGGCTCATGACAGTGGGTGAACAGGATGCTACAAATCTCAAAGCATCTCACCAGACGCTTCTACAGTAACCTCACAGGTGACCACTGGCAGACAGCACTTTATCCAGGTGCTCATTTAGCACCCCCAAAACTAGGCAACTTGACACCATGTGCCTCCTGAGGGCATGCAGAAATGTCACATGTCCACCCTAGATCTCACCAGCACGTGAGCAACATCACCCAGCAAACCTGCACTTTCCAACCATCAGAGATCAAGGTTGAACAAAAGAAAGAAGTTTGGGAGGCCTGACGAGGAACCCCACCGGGCTGGGTTGAAGCCCTCCTGGCCCCTCAGAGGTAACTGATTATGCCGTTTTCTCCCCTGCCTTTCCTGCACTTATTTTTGCATCAGTAAGCAGATTACAGGTGTGGGCCACCACACCCAGCTCAGGTCTGTGCTATATTAGCATTAAATTGTCTGACTGATGATTGTGTCACTCCCCCACCATGCTTGGGATAGAACCCTGGGCCTGAGGAATGCTAGGCAAGTGCTCTGCCACTTGAGCCACTCTCCAGCCCTATATTGTACAGATACAGTGGGTGAATTGTACGGTGTCCAAATTATATTTCAATAAAATTGTTTAAAAGAAACAAAAGAAGCCAAGCACCAGCAGTTGACGCCTATAATCCTAGCTACTTGGGAGGCTGCAATAGGGAGAATCATGGTTCAAGGCCATCTCAGGCAAATAGTTTGAGGCTCCATCTCCAAAATAACCAGAGCAAAGTGGACTAGAGGTGTGGCTCAAGTGGTAGAGCGCCTGCTTTGCAAGTGCAAAGCCCTGCGTTCAAACCCCAGTCCCCCCAAAAAAGAAAAAGAAAAAAAACAGAAGGGCACCACCCATCCCAGGGGCAAGGTCCCCCCCAGGTTACTGTCAGCCTTACTTTTTTTGTGTTTTACTTTTTGCTGGGGATGCCCATGGCCACACACCTGCTAAGCAAGTACGCTACTGCTAAGCAGCACCTCAGCCCTAGCCTGACTTTGAAAATAATCACTTTTGGGGGGGGGATTTTTTTGTTGGTTTTGGCAGTACTGGGGTTTGAAATCAGGGTCTCACACTTGCTAGTCAGGCACTCTACAAATTGAGCTATGGCCCCAGTCCCTAAATCCTCACTTTCTGGGCTTTGATGCAGTCAGTTGGGTCTCGCCTGTTTCTTTATCTGATGTGCTCTGACATCTCCTGCATCTTCTGCACAGGCTGTTTCTTTCTGTCCTTTACTAGCTGATTGCAGACCCTGGGCCATTAGTCCTGTGGAGCTGGCCATGGTCTGCCAGTGGCTGCATCCTCACAGCTGGCAGATAAGCCAGAGCCTGGGTCAGTCCCAGCTTCGATAACTTAGGCAAGATAGAGAAAGCAGGGAATGCCCAGGTTGTCTCCTGTCTAGTTCCGATGGCCATGCTCTGGTTTGTCCTCTTCAACACTCATCAAGTGCTCTGTAGACACTTCTCTTGCAGAAAGGCACTCAGCATGGGCTGCAGAGGCTCTGCTGGTGCACCTGACTCACCCACTCTCAGTAGAGTGAGCTGCTCCTGTCACCCTGCAGAACTGACTGCTCCCTCTCTTCCCAAGTGTCCCATGAGCCTGTGCGTGACTGACGGGTTGATCCTTGCCCTGCTGAAGAACAAACTACCCCATCTTTGGCTGAGGGCAAGTGTCTCTTCAGGCTGCTGCTGGGCTCCGGGGTGTGACCCTAGTGGAACTCCCACAGCAGCCTACCTCTCACGTGGCAGATGTGGCCTGCCCCGTCCTTTCAGTGAAAAGTGGTATTTCAAGACCAAAAGATGGGGCAGGAAATGGTCTGGTCATTGTGACTGTGTTGGTCACCATTTCTAGACTTTTCAGCAGCGAGAGGCGGAGGAGACACACACAATCCCCGGAAAACACTGATCTGTTCTCCCTGTCTATAACTTGTTTCAACAATGTTCTAAGTAAGGAGCTCAGTGTGCAGCATCTGAGATTGACCCCACTCAGAAAAGTTCTCTGCAGGTTCATCAGTCAACAGTTGCGTTGTCAACAGTCCACCCTTTTTGAGTGCTCAGTGGGCTCTGTGATACATATGTCACTCACTGAAGGACATCCAAGTTGTTTCCAGCTTGGGGCTATGACAGCAGAATTGCCATAAATGGTCACATGCAGGTTTTTGTGTGAACACAAAGACTTCATGTCTGTGGGGCAAATGCCCAGGACAGGTCACATTCTAGCCATAGGTTTAGTGTTTGACGGAACTATCTAGCTCTCTTCCATACTGACTCCCCATTTCCCCCCAAGCGCTCACAGGGCGTGAAGCATAGCCCCATAGGCAATTTCCTGTTGCACTTCCTGAAACTGGGGAATAGCCAGCCTCATGCACTTGTCTGCTCTCTGCATTCTTAACAAAATGCCTGTTTGTACCATCTGGCCATTTTCTAACTGCCTGCCCCACTTTTTCCCTGTTGAGTTTTGAGAGTTCACCCAGAGTCCTCTGTTAGATGTGCAATTTTTTTGCAAATTTTTGTCCCAATCTACAGTTTTGTCTTTTCATCCTCTTTATAGGCCTTTTCCCAGAGTATTTTAATTTTGACGGCCAATTAATGAATTTTCGATGGGGGAGGGCTGACACATGTCAGCTAATCATTAGACCTGTCCATGGGAGTCTAGAAAACCCAAGGGGACATCTCTTGGATTCTAGAACAGGGTGATGGCTCACCTGGGAAACTGCAAGACTCAGCTGACATCCTATCAGAAGGCTGGAGAAGTCAGCAACTTGGTGGCAGTTGCTGAAAAAGACAGGATCCTGACAGAGCAGCCAGAAACAAGCATGGCTTCACAACACACAAAGAAAGCAAGTCAGGGACTGTATGATGACAACCCTGATAAGATGACCCTGTCTGCACAGAGAGGGAAATGACTCACAGAAAGGGAGGAGATAGCCATCAGCCTGGGACTGTGAAGAACGAAACATGCTAGACTAACTTCATTTAGTTCTGACACTTGCTGGTCCAATACACAAGAGTCAAGAATAAAGACAACTCAATTGTAGCTTATTGGTTACTTGTAACACTCATGGAGAAAATGCTAGATTCTGTTAACATTAAGAGGCAAGACCTGAAGTCTAAAGATGATTTTCTTAGTGCTTAAGAGCACTCTTAAGAATTTAAATGTGAAAGTAAATGTTTGTAGATGTGGGCTCTTCTGAACCTGTCTGTATCATGCCCTTTGCTTAAGGCCCCCAGGCTGTCCACCCACTCAGAGCAAAGCCCATGTCCTTCTTGCAGACCCTCCATGACTGAACCCTGACCTATCACTGCAGCTGCCTGCCCACATCTAAGATGTCACAATCCATCCCCTGGCCAAATTATTTTGTCTTCTAAAAACTCCAGGCATGTTCCGCCCCTGGCGATGCTTGAAAGTGTCTTTCAACTTGATGCCAGGAGTCTAGGAAGTACCATAGTAATCTTTCCTAAGAACAGCACCTGGGATTGAGTTCCTCCAGGTAAACACCCTGACAACCTGCTACCACACTCACACCAGGCAAACTACAAGGGGATACGCTCCCGTCAGTGAGCCACACCAACACACGCCATGTGGGTAATCCCTAACAGGGCTTAGCACTGCCCCACAGGTGGCTCTCTGGATGTCCAGCTCTACTCTCCAGGGTTCTGGACCCATCCTCAGAATCGCCATGAAGAGCCACTTGGGTGTAGCTGGGGAGTGCTCAGCTTGCTTTCTGCTGGTGAGATCAAGGTCAAAGGCCTCTTTTTGTCTCTCACTGCAGGACACTTTCTGTGCAGCCCACAAGGTTTCTGCCAATGTAACTCTTCCCAAACCTTTGTGGAACTCTGCAAATTTTACTGGGGTTCATTAACAAGACCCACATCCACAGGTCTCTCCATAGAGACCCTTCTATGACTTGGGACTACTGAAGGCCTAGTTTGTAATTTCTCAGGAGCCCTATTGTTTGGAGTTCTCAACTTTCTAAGGTCTTAACAAGATTGAACAGCCACAGTCTCAGCTTCAGTAGTGATCTCATCTTTCTGGCTGCTCTCCAGACTTGATCTTTGCTTGGAAGCCATCTTAGCTATGTCACCTGGAGAGGATGAGAATGTTCAAGACCACTCCTGCCTACTCAACAGTCCTTCCTTTTAGCTTATCAACACCCACGTTCTATGTTGAGCACAAGAGCCATGAGGTGCTCAGTTCCCAGCCCAGAGAGCTCCTTAGCTGATCACCCAGTTCTTCAGGCACATGCGGGAAGCACGTCCCTAACTCCGTCACAATGTGACAAGAGCAGTTTGTCCCTTTCCAAAGCAGCTTCTTCTCAATTCCTCAGTCCTTCAAACTCCCTAAGGCCTCCCAGCCTCTTCCACATTTTAGGATTCTTCTGCAGTCAGCTCACCATACTCCCACCTCTGAGCCTTTGCATTTGCAGAGGGTGATAGCAAGTTCAGCTCAAATGCTGCCTCATCAAACAGGCATGTCCAACTACACTAAAAAAGGGGCAACTACCCATGCCCCCTACCTTGCTCTACTCACTTGTCCCTAGCCTATGAATGCAGTCTCCTCAGGTTCCATCTCCTGCTGTATCCCACCATCAGTACCTGATAGTGCCTGCCAGGTACACAAGGAAGGACTTCTACTCTTTGTAAACTTCTTGGAACAAAACTGCCAGCCCAAGTACAGCATCACTGCCAAAGAAGTGGCCCTGAGGACATGTGGCATGGCTTTAGGCTGACGGCCACGTCCAAAGGCAGAGCTGCCAGGTTTCAAGGCTCCAGCTATGGAAGACAGGCCGTGGACAGGACAACCCTGTCCAATGCTGTCTGTTCCAGGCTGACATAGGACACAGAGAAGGGCTGCCACACAAGGTGCTAATGAATTAGCATCAGACTCTGGCCGGGTTGCTGGCTTCTTGTGCTTGTCTGCTGAGCACACACTGAGCAGGCGGGCTCTATATTGGCATGTGACCAGGATTCCATGTCAGATCTCCACACTTGCCACGCAAGCTTGTCAGGCACATAAGGAGGCTTATCCCATCCTCCTCACACAGAGCTGTTTATCAGGGCAGTTAGCCCATGTGGCAACACTATAAATCAGTCACAGAAGGTTCTTTTTATTTTTGCAACATCATTCCATACAAAAGCAATAGAAATACAAGTCTTGACAAGTTTACAACTGAATATCAGAACAGAAAATCTGTACACATTATCATTTACAGTAATTTTACATGGAATTAACTGATCATAAGAAAAATGTTCTAAATCCCTCTATTACCTTAACTCTCAAGAGTATTACAGGTTATTTACAAGTTCAAATTAAAGACTGTATAGCTTACATAAAAACCATTAACAATCCAGTTAACATCTTCGACATCTTCAGAGCTCTGTATGAGGAAAACCACCTACTTTGACATATTGGTAAAAGGCCAGAGAATGTTCCACAAAATCATTAGAGTTGTCAGGTGCCTGTAAAGAAAGCTGACTCTAGACTGATCCCACACATGGTTAAGTCCACAACCCACCCACTTGACAAGTGGCAACTAGAAGCCTAAGACGCCTATGGAGTACCAGTTAAGGCACACTTGTCACTCTGACTTGGAGGACGGCAGGCACTAAGCAATTACGTCTGTTGCAAGGTTGCTTCATGTTCAGTTTTTCTTGGCTTGGCTTCAGTTCCATTTACAATTTAAAACATGCAAAACATACTCACTATACATAAAATTACTATGTCTTAAGAAAATAAGGCAAGTACAACAACTGATCATGAGATAATGAACTATTAACAGAGAAACCATCCAAGTACAAGTGCACAGCACATGGTTGGCCAGCCTTCTGCTGGCCAGGTGGAGGCAACTGTTTCTCTTGGTGGCCGCCAGGTGGCAGTTAGCTCATGGCTGAGAAATCTTTCAAGGGTTCCATCAAACAAGTTTCCAAATCAAATTCATCCTCCACTTGGCAGTCCACATGTCTAACTTTGGTGGGTGTGCCAGAGTACACATCCTAGAAAACAGAAGCACAGGTCATGCCTACAATCCAAATGTGCAGGCTTGCTGTGTGTGTTCCTATGCTCAGGACAGACTGATCATGACCAGTGAAGACCACAGGAACACAGGAACACTCGCAAGAAAACTCAAATTAGCTGGCTGATGCTGTTCATGGACAGTGGATATCAAACTTTATTATAGCTGGAAATTTCAAACTCCTACCCACCTCATCAATTACATATCAACTGACTCCTTAACATCTAGCCACGGCTGCCTCAACTAACACGAGGTGCTATGAGGACTAGATCCAAGGTGATACCCGTCACCTAACGCAGAATCACACACTGGCTGAGCACCCACCCTCCAGCTAAGAAAGACACATCTCAGCTCTCACACAGCAGACCTGGGACTCAAGACAGCCCCTCTGGGACCACTTCCTGAACCCCACAGCTTCTGGGAAACCCCTGAGGTAATGTACATCAAGGTGTACCTTGCAATTATGGAAGAGTCTAATCAGGACACAGGAAGAGGGATCACACACACTACATCATGAGACAAAGTGTAGATGTGTACACACTGCGTAAGCACAGAAAGAATTCTAAAGAGCAAGACAAAACTCTCGAGTAGTGGCTCTCTCCACGCAGAAGTTACAGTGTTTAAACTGATGTATTTCCCGGTTGTTTTAATGAACATGTTTTCTGCTCCCTGCTCCATGCCCCCCTGTTTGTGTTACTGGGAATCAAACCTAGGGCTAGGCAAGCAGCCCCTTTTGCTTCTTACAATTTAATTTAAAGGTCACACATTCAAATGTAGAGAGCTTAAAAATTAACTTAAAACAATTTGAAGCCCAATATGTTTACTTATTGAAACTGAGGTTTTACTATTAATGTTTAAAAAAAAAAAAAAAAACTTTCCTATTTTTACATTGGAGGAATGCAAACCCTGAATCATGTTATAAATTTAATCTTACCAGTGATACACCAATACACACCTACCCGTTATTTTTTATTTTTGGTGGTAACTGGGTTTGAACTCAGGGCCTCACACTTACTAGGCAGATGCTCTGCGAATATGAGCCACTGCACCAGCCCTTTTTTTGTGTCAGGTGTTTTCTAGATAGGGTCTCACAAACTATTGCCCAGACTGGCTTCAAATCCTGATCCTCCTGATCTCTGCCTCTTGAGTAGATAGGATTACAGGGACGAGCCACTGGCGCCCAGCCACATTATTGCATTTTTGACCAAAGTACTCGACCTAATTCTCCTCCTTTGTGTTTTGGCAGTAGTGGAGTTTGAACTCAGGGCCCACACCATGAGACACTCTCCCTTCCTTTTTTGTGATGGGTTTTTTCTGAGATAAGGTCTTGCAAACTATGCCCAAGCTGCTTCAAACTGTGATCCTCCTAATCTCTGCTCCTGAGTAGCCAGGATTACAGGTGTGAGCTACTGGCACCTGGCTGACCTAATTCTCAAGGAAACAGTCCAACGACTCCAATGTAACAGACAATAAACATTCTATTTTATGAAAACTAGTCTGAACTTTTCAAAGAAATGAGTCAAGGTTAGAGGGAAAATGCAGAACCTGATCTAGATTAAAGGAAATTAAAGAGGATAATTTAAACATTTGATCCTTGATTAAATTCTAGATAGAAAAACAGAAATGCTGAAACTGTTGGAACAACTGGGAAACCTGAGTATGAACTGCACACCACTAGACAGCAGTATTTCCTCTAGGTTACAAGACTATATTGTGTTGATGCCCATCAGAACATCCTTAGTCAGAGACAGAAGTGGCAATATCTAGTGGCCAAGCTCCACCATTACTTTACAGGTTACAGAGCATGTACACCAACACTGTGTTCACAGTACTACAGATCAAAACTTTCTCAGAATGGTTTTCAGAGAGTGCTTTTCTAAGTACTTAGGCCAGAGTCTTCTTACCTCCCTCCCCCTCATGCAGCCACCTGAGCGGAGCCTGCTCTCCTGGGATGCCCCAGAATCCCTCTAACAGCCCTACCTTATACCCTAGCTCCCTCACCCATGCGGTGGATGAGTCCGTGTGACATTATTGTGAGTGGTATGTTGTCATGGTTTTTTTTTTTCCCCCAGCACTGGGGTTTAAACTCAAGGCCTCACAATTACTAGGCTGGTGCTCTATCACTTGGGCCACTCCACCCAACAGGTTGGCCTCAAACCTGTAATCCTCTTGCCTCAACCTCCTAAGCAGCTGGGATTATAGGTTTGCACCACAATGGACTGGTTATTAAATAGTCGTCAAAAAACGATCTAATACAGGCATATTGGACCCAATACAGGCAATTCAGGCACTGGGCTCACCAGGGGTGACGCAGATGGAAAGAAAGCAGAAAATGCAACTCTGTAACCTTGTTTTTTATGTTTGCATACTATTCAGGTACTTTTTTTTTTTTTTCTTTTTTTGTGAACTGGGGTTTGAGCTCAGGGTTTTGTACTTGCAAAGCAGGCACTCTATACTGCTTGGACCACACCACCAGTTCATTTTTGGTCTGGTTATTCTGGAGATGTATGTCTCTCAAATTATTTCCCTGGGCTGGCCTCAAACCATGATCCTCTCAATCAACCTCCTTTTCTTTCTTCAAAAATGTAACTGCAAAAATCAGCAAATGTAGGCATAAAGCATTACCTTATTTAGTAACTTTCAGCAGATTGTTCCCACGCCACCAGTTCAAACTGGCCTACAATTAAGCACTGGTAAATATGCACATGGAGATATAGATTCAGGGAAAAAGGCCTTTTACTACCAAATGACAATGTTACAGACTAAGCTGGACTGAACCAAAAGCCTAAGTGAAAGTCACTCCCTCAGAACTCAAATCTCATCGATCAACCTGGTATTTCAGTAACAGGAAAAATGGTAGTCCTTTTTCATAAGCATCTGAGTCAACAACCTTCAGTATATAAGGTGACCCATTCTCAACAACTGACCTAAAACACCTAGACTGAGAGATATGTAACCAAAGAAGTTACTTACGAAGTTATCCTGTGAACTGGTCTGGGACTCGGAGCTGCTTTCCGTGGATTCTGTCTCCATTTCCCCGAGGTCTACAGGGTGTCTGTAAAATAAAACCAACAGGCATGTCAGTCACCAGCTTAACAGAGCCAGGAAACCATGGCTTCAAGTCAGGCTCTCGGTAATAGTCTGCTTACTAAAAGCAAACCCACCCACATTGTAATGCATGAGTGGTGTGCAGACACAACAGTGTCCCTAAACTTCCCCAAGGGGTCAGTCTTCAGTGACCCCACTGCCAGATTCAACTCCTACCCAATCAATCCAGCACAGAAAGCAGATGTCAATTACAGGCAAAAGATCTGCCTGGCTCACAGCACACAAGGACCTGTTGTTCTTAAGTCATGAAATCATATATATACCCACAAACACCTTCATAAGCCAAATCAGTAACAATAAGCCTTATTTTTGAGAGAAAAACACTACAACAAACTATATACAAAACCAATTTTTCAATCAGGCACCACTGATGCACGCCTGGAATCCTAACTACTCAGGAGGCAGAGATCAGGAGGATCACAGCTCGAAGCCAGTCCAGGCAAACAGTTCACAACACCTATCTCGAAAAATACCCTTCACAAAAAAGGGCTGGTGGAGTGGCTCAAGGTGTAGGTCCTAAGTTCAAGACCCAACACCGCCAAAACATACACACAAAAACACACTCAAGAAAAAACGGGTAGTGGAATGGCTCAAGTAGAAGAACACCTTCCCAGCAAGTGTGAGGCCTTTAGCTCAAACCCTAGTACCTCCAAAAAAAAAAACACAACTTTTCACAGTTCAATATAAATGACTCAAATACTTCTTAGGATGAGAGCTGGCTGCTCTGTTCTCTGGTAACTTCCAGGACAATTTGTCATGAGTGACACACAGCTCTCTCAGTCCATATGCCAACCAGAGAAACAGAATACAAAGACATACATTTCTTGCAAATCACATCCTTCTTCAGCTGGAGGATCCCAAAAATGCAGAGCCACCTTCCAGAGTTTGATCTGCTGGTCCCATGACCGCCGGCTGTATTTCTTAAATTTGTTGGGGGTCTTGGGATGGATGCCAGGTTGTCGAAGGTGCCTACAGGACAGAGTAAGATTAGTAGCTAGAAGAATAAACACACGTTGAAAGCAGCATTGTTTAACAAGTTATGTATCAACAAAGTCTACAAACTGAACAAAGTAATGTATTAAAAATTACTACTTCAGCCAGGTGTGGTGGTACATTATCTGTAATCTTAGCAGTCAGGAGAATGAGACAGGAACCTGAGCTACATAGTGAGACCCTGACTCAAAACCTCAAAAAGCCCACACCAAAAGAAAGGAAAAATCAAAGAAGCAGGAGAGGCAAGAACATGCCACTTAAAAAAAGAATGATGCCGTTTTTCCCTTCAATGAGATTTTTACAATCTTCTTTTTTTCTTTCTCCTTTTATTTTGTCCTTTGATTTTTACAATCTTTAACTTGAACTTTGTTCAACCATTGTGTTTTTTTTATTTTTTTGGGTGGGGGGTACAACTGGGGCTTGAACTCCCGGCTTTGTGCTTGCAAAGCAGGCACTCTACTGCTTGAGTCACACCTCCAGTCTTTTGTTCTGGTTATGCTGGAGATGGGGTCTTGTGAACTATTTGCCTGGGGTGGCCTCCAACCTTGATCCTCCTAATCTCAGCTTCCCAAGTGGCTGGGATTACAGGCATGATCACTGGCACGCAGCTCCAATTCTGTATTTTAATAACTGTACATGTATAAGACTGCTATGAGTCTTGAGAATGAACTGCCACCTAACACCTGAAATTATGAAAACGATTATTCTTTTAATCTTCACGTCTCTGGTTTTTCAGATGTCCATCTATCCGTGATTGGCATGATAGCTCCTGTGAGTCACTAACAAACAGTTCCTGCCAGGTGTGTATCACATAAGCAACTGCTCTCAAGTGCAATGCCAAGGGGCTGTTCAGGACACGTCAATGAGACACTATGCTACCTGGGGACTTCTTTGATATATCGATCATAGGCAATAGTGTTCTTTCCATAATTGATCTGCTTCTGTCTTCTCATTAGGACACATTCATCTGTCTCCACATCAGCTGGCACTGCAGATGTAGACTCCTTTGAATCAGAACTGAAAAATTAACAGAACAAGCCTTTCAAGATCATCATGCAAATTGTGCCAAGAAAATGCCTGAAACAATCGTCCTCTGGATTCCAAACCATGTAAATCCTAGAAACAGTCCAGAATCTATGTTCATGTGGGAATTCAGTACACAACAAATACAATTTCAAATCAGTGAACAACAGACTAATCAATAAATGCTATCGGGACAATAAGCAATTCTCAGTCACAATTTTCATTAACAGATTGCAAAGAAATGTTAAACGTACCTTCCCGATGATGATTTTCTCTCTCTTCCAAAGTCATTTATGAGTAGTTTTCTTTTGTATCTGAGAAAAAAAATAAACATTGCTACTTGTTTTGGGATATTTTCAACACCCCCCTCAGTTATATCATTTTATAAGATAAAGGTTATTTGGGGATCAGACTCACTTGGAGGGCTTCCTAACAGGATGGCTGAGCCCCATCCATCAGGGAGAGGTCTGACAAGTTCCCAAGAAATACTAATGCTTCTGGTCTGGGACCTTTTTTTTTTGGTTATTTTTTAGGCAATGCTGGGGATCAAACTCAGGCCCCCAATGCATGTTAGGCAAGCACTCTACCACTGAACTACAACCCCAAATTTGAGAACAACTACTCTAGCCAGGTACCAGTGGCTCACGCCTATGATCCTAGATACTCAGAAGGCAGAGATCAGGAGAACTGCAGTTTGAAGCCAGCCCAGGCAAACAGTTCATGAGATCCTATCTTGAAAAAACCCTTCATAAAATAGGGCTGGTGGAATGACTTAAGCTGTAGGCCCTGAGTTCAAACCCCAGTACCACCAAAAACACAAAAACTACTCCAAGACAAACCTTGAATTTAGCACTTAATAAAAAACAAAAAACAAACCACCCAGAAAATAGCCTGGTGCTGGTGGCTCACGCTTATAATCCTAACTATTCAGGAGATAGAGGTCAGGGAGACCAGTCAGAAACCAGCCTGGGCAAACAGTTCAGGAGACCCTATCTCTAAAATACCTGAAACAAAAAAGGGCTGGTGGAATGGTTCAGGCAGTAGAGCACCTGCCTAGCCAAGTGTGAGGCCCCAAGTTCAAACCCGAGTGGCATTTCCAATCCACCCCCCCCCGAAAAAAAACCAGAAAACAATTCTAAGTGGTCGAAAATGTGTACCTTGCAATTTCTTTGTTAACTCTGGTCCTCATTTCATCTTCTTCAACTGCACTTGCCCAGTCTGAACATCTAGAACGGGGCTTAGGGCCTTCAGGAGTGGTAAAACTACAACAAAACAAAAATGCACATTTGAACCATGAGACTACTTTTAGTTTCAGCTTTTTTCAAAAAATATTCAGATGCTTTTCAGGCAGAATGCCAAGGAAACAGGCTTCAGACTTGAATCAGATGTAAAAGAGAATCTCTAATCCCTGCTTCAGAACTTACTAGTTCACTGAGTTTGGGCAGTTGTTTTAAAGCCTTTCTGGGCTTCATTAAACAACTTCTATCCACCCACCAGGTGTCAGGGCTGGCTAAGTCATGGCACACAGTCCACTGAGAGGAGATGCAGATAAAGTCAACAAAGCATTGTTAACGCTGAGAAGGGCACCTACTACAACTAGTTCTCTTAGGTGCAAAATGAACTTTTTTTTCCCCCTAAAATTTAAAAATTACTTCAGATAACTCAAGATTAGTGCTAACCATACAGTAAGAACCTAACACAGTGGCCCAGGGTTACCTCTTAGATGCACAAGATCAAGTACATCACAACTAAAACAAAGGGGCATGTGATTATATGGGTCAGAGCCCTTGCTGCATTAAGAAGTATAAAGGTGTAGTTCCTACAGCTGGGCTAAATCTAATCCAGGAAGGAGCTCAGTTCTATCTCAAACTCAACAACAAGGCATTTTTCAAGATACTGGTGACTCACGCCTATAATCCTACCTACTCAGAAGGCAGAGATCAGGAGGATCTTAATTTGAAGCTAGCCCTGGCCAATAGTCTGGGAGACTATCTCAAAAATACTCATCACAGAAAAGGGAAGGGCACATGCCTAGCAAATGTGAGGCACTGAGTTCAAATCTCAGTGCTGCCAAAAAGAGAAAAGAACCCAAGTAATTTAGCCACAAGTGATGCCTCATGCCTGTAATCCCAGCACTCGTGAGGCTAAGGCAAGAGGATCATGAGTTTGAGGCCAATCTGGATTAGTGAGGCCTAGTTTCCAAAAGAAAAAAAAAGTGGACACGGTGGCTCAAGCTTATAATCCTAGCTACTTATGAGGCTAAGATGGGGAGGATCACAGTTTAGGCCAGGGAGAGGGTACTAGGGAACCAAAAGGGAGTTCACAGGCAAAGCCCCATCTCAACCAATAGTTTTGTGTAGCACACCTGTCACCCCAGTTATACAGGAGACTAACATCAGCAGGATCATGGTTCTAGGCCAGTTAAAGGGGAAAAATTCACAAGAACCCACCTCAATAGAAAAAGCTGGGTGTGGTGGTGTGCACCTGTCACCTCAGCTACCTTAGAAGCATAAAATAGGAGAATCAAGGTACAGAACAGCCAGGGCAGAAACACGAGAACCTATCTTCAAAATAACCAGGCAAAAAGGGCTGGAGGTATAGCTCAAGTGGTAGAGCACCTGCCTAGCAAGCGTAAGACCCTGAGTTCAAATTCTAGTACTGCCAAAAATAACAACAACAACAAAAAAAACAGGCTACTTGAAAACTCAAGACTTCCAGGATAGAGGGGATAAAGGAGAATGAACGAGGGAATTTAACTAAGATATATTTTAAGTACTTTGTGAATGTCACAATGTACCCCTAGTAAAAATAATATAATTAAAAAATTTTTAAAAACTCAAGGCTTGATACCAAAAATTTTGACAGTTGGAATTGCTTGACATATCTGCTGTTTACAGATTAGATGTAAACCGATGTAAGTTACATTATTATTTATCCTCACAGGATTTTCCTATCAGCTACTACAGGTGCATCAAAACTAGACACTAACTTTAGTTACAACAAATAAGCAACTTCATACATTCTAGCTGAAAAACAAATAATGTGCTTTGAAAATGCAACTGTAAAAATAAAGGAATAATCCCTTGTTATCACTTTTTTCCATATAGTCACTCAGATTAGATTTCTAAAAGTAAATTCCTATGGGTTGGGGGCATGCTCAATCGGTACAGCATCTGCCTAGCAAGCACAAGGCCTAAATTCAAACCCCAATTATTGCTAAAAGTAAATTTCTAGGGCTGGTAGAGTGGATCAAGTGGTAGAATGCCTGCCTAGCAAGTGTAAGACCCTGAGTTCACACTCTGGGACTGCCAAAAATAAAAGTAAATTTCCAACTGGGCATGGTTATACACATCTGTAATCCCAGCACTCAGGAGATTAAGGGAGGATGGAGAGTTCTAGACTAGCCTGAGTTACATAGTAAGACCATCTCAAAAACAACAAAAAATAAATTATGATATACATTTCCAGATTTTAAAACTGTTGTAATATCTGAAATCTAATTAGGTCACTAGCTGAAACTTAAGCTGACTTAATAACTGTGCAGCAAATACAGAATGGGATCACATAGAGGCTTATCCAGGTTTGGACTCCAACACCCCCACCAGAGTAGCAAGAGGTCCAGGTCTCCCAACCACAGCAGATGCCTGAACTATGAGGATGGTCTTAAGGTGTGTACAAAGGAACTTATGCTACTTCTTGTATTTTAGTACCTTTTGTGAAGCTGAAGCCCATTTCTTAGATTAGGCAGATTATATTCGCAATCTGCCTATCTGCTGACAATAAAGCATACTTTTACACGCTAACCTCTCTCCAAAAGGACTGCTAACTTGTTCAACCCTATCACGAGCAGCATGGAGACGTACATGATTCTACTTGTCAGGTATCTCCAGGCCTGTCCACAAGGCACAAACAGCAACAGCAAAGGCCCAAAAGCAGAAGCAATCCTGACACGTTGAAGGAATGAGGTGGCTGGTGTGGCTGGCCTGTTAAGTAAGCTACAGAGCTGGGGCATAGATGCCAGGCCTTCTAGAACCTGATATAAAGATAACATTTTATCTTCAGCCAAATGAGAAGTGGAAGAACTCAGAGCTCATGTTAATGAGGCTTGCCTTCCTTTGTATCTAGCTTCGACGGTCCTGAGACCTCCTCTACAAGCCGTATCTCCCCAGTCTCAAGTTTTTAAAGACGTGCTGGTGACTCACATTTGCACCTGTCCTCCCTAAGCCTATTCCCTCTCCCCACCTTCTTCATCTGGTCAACCCATGAACAAGTTCAACAGGTCCCGCGTTGGAATGAGAAGTCTAACGCGAACCACACATTCCCCACCACCTTCGCCGCCCCCATCTGGCCAAATCACCATGTCCTTTCGCTGAGCTTAGCTACCCCGTGTCAGTTCTCAAACAGGCTACACATGTCCCCGCCTGGGACCTGGGCACAAAAATTCAGTTACTACCAAAAGGTCCCCCAAAAGAGAACGTCCCCGAGGATGGGCCCTGATCGCCCAGGTCACAGCTTATTTTCTTCGCTCGCTGGCCCTGCCCATCGGGCTGCCAGGCCTCCAGAACACCGCCTAGCCTGGGAAAGGCTCACCAACAGGAAGGACCCAGTTGCGCGGGGACGGACGGACGGACGGACGACCTGCGCCTAAATGTGGGCACCCTGGCTTCCGCTCAGTGTCCTGCGACCGGCCGGCTGCCATGGAGGCCCCCGAGCCCGGGGCCGGGGCCGGGGCCGGGTCAGGGTCAGGGTCAGGGTCAGGGTCAGGGTCAGGGGCGAGCCCCGGGCCCCGCCGCCCACCGCCCCCCATCCCCCCCGCCCACCTCTCGGGTCTGCGGTCAGCGGCCAGGCGCCCGCCCTCCTCGGCGTCCCCGGGCTTCCGGTGCCTCTCGTCGGCTCTGCGCTTCCGTCCGAGGCTCCATCTCGTAGGGGACGGCGGGCTGTGAAAACAGACTGCGGTCAGCGGGCAGGGACCTGACCCCAGGCAGCACGAGGACCCCCGCCCGGCCCAGTGCCGAGGGCTCTGGGGCCTCGCGGTCCCTCACCTGACGCCGCCGTCGCGGCGACTCCCGTACCGCGGTGGGCTTCGTGGCCGGCAGGCCATGGCGGCGGCTGCAGCTACGACGACGCGGCGTCGAGACGGAGGGCGGGGCGGCAGCGGCAGGGGCGGCGGCTGCAGAGGACTCGGAAGCCGGCGTTGACGAGCTCTGCGCGCGTCCCGCCCCCAACCGCCCTTAAGTACACGGCGGCCCCGCCCCTCGGGGCTCCCGCGCGCGGGGTCGGACGAGACCATCGGCGGGGGGGGGGTCCTTCTCGGTTGCGCGCGCTTCGAGGGCAGACGAGGCTGGGGCCTACACCCGGGCACCGCGGAGAGCCTCCAGAGCCTGTCCGCCCGACCTTGCCGCCGAGACAGGCAGGTCGGCACCGCGGGCTTGGCTGAGGAGACGAATAGGTGCAGGGTGTCCCCCTCGGCCTTCCAGACGGCCGGCGCCGCGGCTGCTCGGTCGCTGATTGGCCGTGCCTTCGCGGGCGGAGGGGTATTGGCGGGAGATTCAGCCGCGCGCGCTGCGACCCACTCGGAGTGAGGGCGCTGCTGATTGGTCCAGGTCCGGCCGAGTCGCCCCTCTGACTGGCTAAGGCCGGGTGGAGGCGGGCGGTTAGCGGCAGGCGCGGTCTTGCCTGAACGTCTTCTTCCGCTTGCGGCTGCCGTAGGCCCGGGACCCGGTCTGTTGCTCCAAGCCGTGGAGCATTTAGAATTCGGGTCTCACCATGCAGCCCAGGCTACCCACGAGCTCACGATCCTCCCGCCTCAGCCTCCCGAGCCGGAGACGCCCGGTTTGGAGCGGTGTTTGGCGGCAGCGGCGCCATGAGCGTCCCCGGCGCACGCTCCCGGCTGGGGACCCGCGGGCGCCCGGGCCGGCGAGACGCCCTCGCACCCGTTTCAACGATGGCACCACCGCGAAGTCACAAGTGTGGCTTTAATTTCAGGTAACGCAAAATAAAGTACGAGGCTTCACGTCGCCGCTTTATTTGAGTACTGTCCCGGCTCCCCAGCCCTTGGGCCTCCGGGCGGCCGCCACCCCGCAGAGCCGAGCTGCTCGGCCCGGCCCCGGCGAGGCCCCCACACCGACACCGCCAGGCCCTGATTCCCAGGCCAGGCCAGCGCAGCAGGGACTCGCTTTCCGGATGTCCTTCCGCTCCCACATCCCGGACGCTGGGGCAGAAGGCACCAAAAGCGCAGCGAAGGCCTTCCTGACCCCGAGCGGCCCCCAGGAGAGAGTGGGGCCCTCGCCTGTCCCCTCGGCACCAAGAGCCGCCCCTGTGGCCACAGCCACCAGAAGCTCAACTACGGTGGCAGCCCCATCCCACTCCCCCTGTCGGGCTCCACCGAGCCTCCAAACCGCTGCCGGCTGGAGAGGGCCCAGCACGCAGTGACCCGTTCCCGGACAGGGGCTGCAAAAAGGGGTGGGACAGATGTCGGTCCGGCTTACAACTGAGGGGCAGGGGTGCTCCACAAAGGTAAGGCACAGTGGCCAGATGAGGGCGGCTGGGGCAGACCGCAGGATCTCAGGCCTGCGGCGCTCTTGTGTGCACCACCTGCCCCAGGGGAGGAAGGTGACAGCCCAGGGGTGGCGCTGCAGTGAGAGTGTCTTTTAAACAGAAGTCCTGTAGGCTCAGGGCAGGTCGTGTGCTTTGACCGGTGCTCTTTGCAGACCCAGGAGGTCCGGCCACTTCTGTTAAGAAGCTGGTAGAGGTGCGGAGTCTCCAGGATGCTCAGCGCACAGTGCACACGTCCAGGATGCAGAAGCGTGCACGGCAGGTGGGGCAAGGCACACGGCTGGACAGCCAGGTGTCAGGGCGCTGGGGGTCCTGGCGGCTGGCAAACCACTTGCCCATGCAGGTGAGACACCACATGGGGCGGCAGTAGCACTGCTGACACTCGCCCACAGCTGGCTCCTGGCAGGTCTTCACCAGCTTCACACTGGCTCGAGTCTGCATGCAGCCAATGCACGCCTCAAGCTCCTGCAGAGGGAGAGGCAAGGGAGCGCAGAAGGGGTTGCAGAAGCCTGGCAAGATGGTCCTGGGGGGCTACCTGTCCCTCCCCTTGGGCCAACCCCCACCTGGCTGCTGGGCACTGAGTAGGCTGGGTTGACCTCTACCAGGGAGGCAAACGTCTCCAGGAACAGGTCACTCAGGCTCTGGCGGATGACCACATTGGCTGCACTGCGGATGGGTGCCCGAAGCTTCTCGCACAGCTCCCCGTACTCTGTTGAGTTCAGCCTGCGGGAGGCACAGCCTGCTGGGCTGGGCTCCTCTCCTCTGCCTCTGGGCCCTCAACTGCAGGCAGCCAGGAGCCAGAAGCAGGTAAGGCCAGGGGAGACTGGCCACTTTGAAGGGTGCCCAGAGCAGCAGCCAGTAAAGATGGCTAGAGCCAACAGACCCAGTGGTCACCTACCCCAAGGGACAGGAGAGGAAGAGCTAGGAACCAAGGTGCCACAGCTGAAGACTTAGGCTAATCCAGCATGCGGCCCAAGAAGCTGTGGAGGCAGCTCAGCAAGGAGAACAGAAGGGGAGGCATGTGGGGAAGCTGAAGGCAGCAGAGGCCCTGAGGGAAGGCTATACTGAAGGGCTGAGTGGACTGTTGTCACACAGCCCCCCAGTATCCTTCTGGGTACAAGCTAGGCCAGCACTTCCACACCCTCCAGCAGACCTCTGCCCCAGGGACTTACCGGATATCGAAGGGTTTCACGGCATGGCTGGCACTGGCCACACGTATGGTGAGGAGCTGCACAGGCAGATTTGAGTCTGGCGAGAGCTCATGCTGCCGAGATTCTGTCACAGTCAGGTGCACGTCCTGCTGCTGGGCCACATGCACACGGTACGTGGTCACCTTCATCACCCACGTGTCTGTCACAACCACACGGGCACCCGGCGCCCCAGTAGCAAACTTGTCAATCCGCCGGAACTCTGTGTTGATGGAAGAGGCGACTGCCTGCCAGGTGGACTGAGGGAGGGCATAGAGGGCCAGCGTGCGGGCCAGCGGGTGTCGGGCCCACCGGTCCTGGGACCAGTAGTAGACTAGGGCGCACGCAACAGAGGGAAGGATCAAAGCCAGTAGAAAGAAGAGCCGCCAGGCCTCTGGGGCCTGGGTTGGGGAGTAGAGGTGCTTTTCTGAGGCCGCGAAGCACATGCCCATGTAGTAACCTGCAAAGGAGAAGGTACTGGCTGCCATCTTCCCCGCCCCCATGCTGACACATCAGAAGACTGCAGGGCTGTTCCTGTGCTGAGACAGGAGAGGACGGCTTCCTTGGCCCTTTCCCTTAGCTCCTAGGCCAGGGGAGGCAATCTCCCCACCTCCACAGCAGCCCTGGCTCAGCCCTTGGCCATAACAGTACTTTCCTCATGATAGAAGACATCTTCAAGTTATTTAGTTCTATACAAATAGTAGCATGCGAATAATGAAAGAAAACACAAAGTCCTAGAAAAGTGAAAGCAAACACCTCATACAGAACTGACCCCAAGCCTGCTGGCAGCAGCTCCCTGAACCAGTTCGATTCTGGCCCCTCTGAGGAGGCAGGTTCAACATGGCCCATCCCAGAGCTGGGACATTGTGTGTGAAAAAGTAAACAAGTACTCAGAGTGATGGGACATGTCACTAGGACACTGGAGCCAGCTTCAGGGCCCTGCTGGCCAGGTCAGGAACAAGTTGAACATCAGAATGAATGATAAAGTTGCGACTGCATGGACAGGCTCCAACTTGCAAAAATCGGCAGTAAATGTTTTTTAAGATAACTTGTTACATAGCAGTAATTAAAACTTGGAAGCTTCTCAAGTTAGAAACAGAAGACAGGGAGACATGGTGTGGTCCCCATGATTTGGGTTCCCCATCGGTGCAATGGAAGTGCCTGTGGGAAGAGCGCAGCTAGAGGAGCGCCAGAAACTCACTCCACATCTCTCAGGGGAGCAGCCTGTTCCGGAAGTGCCTTGAGTTCCACTTTCCTCATTGCCTCACAGGGCACTGAGTCCTCAGGCCAAACCACCAGCTGGCCATGCCAACCCCATCTCCATCTCTCCTGTGGGGTCCCTGCGTTCCACCTTCCCTCATGGCAGGCCTGGGCTACTCCACCCTACACCTGCCTCCGGCTCTCTGATCCCAGGCTGCTGTGTCCTCCCACAGCCCCACCCGCAACGGGACGCTGCTCTGGACAGCGCCGGAGAGGCCTGGCCTGGCCTGGGGACCTCGAGGGTCCCACCCCGTCTGCCTTCCCAGGTCTTCTCCAGCAGTCCGCTCTCCCTCCCCTTCTGTTAGCATCAGTCCACAGAAGCCCCTTTCCGGGCAGCGGCTCCCCAACAGGGCGCTCACAGGCGGCGCCATCCTACACCCGGCCGACCCCGCGCCGCAGGTTCCCGCACCCCGGCCCGGCGGCCCCGCGGGAAGCCACTGCGCCGGCTTAACGCGCCGGAGGCTCACCCAGCGGCAGCAGCGAGTGGCACAGCAGCGTGGCGGCCGTGCGGCGCAGGTGATAGGGCACGAAGGCGGCGTCCTCGCTGCCCAGCCAGCCCGACAGCAGGTTCTGCACCGTTAACCCGGCCGAGTGGAATTCGTTAGGAGTGAACACAAAGCACACGGCGAAGACCAGGTAGGCCAGCGTGAAGGTCATCTCGGGGCTGTCCATCGCGCTGCCGCCCCCTGTCCAAAGAGGAGACCCGAGCGTCAAAGACCGGGCGGTTGGTAGGTTGTGGCTGCTGCCGGCAGGCCACCCGCGGGGCACTCTGGGAGACGGATTCCGCAGTCAAGCTGCGCCTGAGAAACTCTGGGAGATGGAGTCCCCAAATCAGACTACGCGCGGAGCACTCTGGGAGACGGAGTTCCACGTCAGGCTGCGCGCGGGGCACCCTGGGAGATGGAGTCCTGCCTGCCCGGCCACCAGCCGGGCACTCTGGGAGATAGATGTCAGGTCTGGACACCCGCGGGGCACTCTGGGAAGACTCGAGGCCCGGCGCCCAGCAAAAAGCTGTGAGCCGCCGTACAAGGACGCACAGGGACTCGCGTCGGCGGCAGAGCCTCATGTTCTCGAGGCGATGGCGCCCCGCGGTCCCTGCCCACCCACAAGTAGCCGGAGCCACCTGTTTCCTCAGCGCCGTGCGGTGCAGGCGTGCCGCGGATCCCGGAAGCTGAACTGCCGGCACGTGAGAGACGCGAACCAGCGCGGCCTCCCATTGGCCACCGGCGACGTGCGCCCCCCCCCGCCCCTGGCCTTGCGCTGATTGGCCACGCGACGCTAACCGTCGGTATTTGAATCTGCGGGCGCGGCGGGCGGTTGTTGCGGAGAGCGACGGCCACTCTGGTTCAGTCGGCCCTGCCTCTCGGGCTCGGCTGCCTGGCGCGGAGCAGGCGCGGCACTCCTTCCTCGCGGTGGGCGGCGGCGCGGGCCCGAGGCCCGGCAGCAGCGCGCAGGTAAGCGGCGTCCGCCAGTTCCCGGCAGGGCGGGGGAGGGGCCGGGGTTGGGCCGTGAGCGCCGCGCGCCCCGTATTCCACCACGGGCCCCCCTGGGCTTCCCGATCGCCGCGCCGGTGCCGGGCTGTCCCTCCCGCTCTGCGCAGCGTCCGCGTCGTGCGTGGGGCCCGTCTATGAGCCCGGACGCCCTCCATCCCGCGTGCTCTTCTGCACCGCTGTGTTCTCCGCCTGCCTCTCGGCGGAGCGGCAGGACTTACCGCCCCGCTGGCCCCCTTACCCCTGCCCCCGTCCCGGGATGTCTTCCTGCCCGGGCCTGTGTCGGCTCAGTCCTCCTGAAAGGCTTCTCTCGAGCCGCTTTCTTTCCCTGCTTCCAGACCAGGGCAGTCCTGCCCGACCGTTTCTTCTCCGGCAAACGCGTGGGTCAGGGTATCCTTGCCTCGGATACCACTGTGGACTGTGACTTCGGTGCACAGTCCAGTCCTGGGCGCTTGACCTCCAACACCTGCCGCTCCCAGGTGGGATGCCTTAGGCAGGACCTCTGATCCCCAGCCTGTCAGCTCCCGCAGTCCTCAAGAGGCTTTGTCCTCCTCCAGCTCTCGTCCTGCTGCTGCTTTCCGCAACTCGTTTACCACCTCCCTCAGACACCTGGACCCTGACCCCTCCCGTGCTGATTCTTGTCAGGGTGGTTTTAAAAGCAACCTCACTCCCTCCCTGCCAAGAGTGAGGGCATCAAAACAAGCCTGAGTCGTGCTCCTGTAATCCCACTCCCTCCCCCCCCCACGCCGAATCTCAGCCAATAGCTGGTCTTGGTGATACGTGCCTGTCCCCACAACAAGAAACATAAAACAGGATCGTGGTCTACGTCCGCCCAGGCAAAAAGTAAGACTCTGTCTCAAAAGTAACCAGAACAAAGAGCTGGAGGCACGGCACAGTGGTGGAGCACCTGCCTTAGCTCTCGCAAAGCTGTGAGTTTAAACCTCAGTATTACCCCAAAAAAACCTCACGAGCCTGCCATGTTGACTTTCTGCTGAAGAGCCTCCTCCAATGTTTAGGTAGGCAAAAGGCCTACCTAAAAAGGTTGGGCTCACTCTTAATCCAACTTCCTGCCAAAAAGGTCTATGGCTATGCATCCCACAGCCATCCAGTGCCTTCTAAGCATTACCCTTGACTTCTGTTTTCTCCCTTGGCTAAAGGAGTCTCTGTTTTGTCCCTTTCCAAGCCATCGCTCATAGCACCACAATGGGCTTTTTTTTTTTTTTTTTTTTTTTTTTGTCTGTGCTGGGGTTTGAACCCAGCTGTGCTTGTGCAAAAGTCAGTTGCTCTAGTCTCTGGATTGGTAATGCTGTAAATAGTAATGGTGATAAAATTTGTGTACTTCAGGGACCAGTATGACCCTAGGGAGTAGGAATGGAGCCATTTCAGAACCTTCTGAGCCTGACTGATGTAGATAGTCCTTGACACCCATCTCCTTGTGACTTCTCTTCTCCCTACTCCTCCTCTGGGCTTTGACCCTGCAGATACTATGGTGCATCTCCAGCCCAGCCCAGTAGGAAGGATACAGTCCAGAGCCACTATCCCCCTTTCCATTCTGTGGACTTGACCTCTGCTTCTCTTCGTGCATAATACCACATGCAAGGGCCCATGTGAACATGGGGGCTTCTTCTAACTCTTTGGTTTTCTCATAGCCAGGATTTTCCTGTCACTCACTCTGCCCTGCCACGTAATGCAGCAGTAGAAGTCTTTCTAAGCACCATGTTCTCTTTCTGTATCAGCCTGAACTCTTAGCCCGTGACTCAGGAGGTGGCAGTGCAGCCTGAAGCAGGACAAGGACTCACTGCGCCCCTGGCAGAGGACACCTGCATGAGGTGTGAGTTCCAGGTTGCTAACAACACATGAGCTTAAACAGACCCACAGCTCTGTGAGGCACTGTCCATGGGTTGTGTCTGTCAGCATCATTGCCCTCACACAAACACACGTTCTGCTTTTCCAGAATGAGTCTGCAGATCTTCAATGACGAAAATGTCACCAGTGAAAAAAATGCAGAAAACCGTGACTTCCTGTTTTCACCACCAGAACTTAGCGGAAGATCATCTGTTCTTCGTCTGTCACAAAAAGACAACGTGCTGCCCAAGAACCAGGCCAAAACTGCAAAGGTAAATGTGGGCTGTAATTTCTGTGCCCATTGGGTACTAAAGGGACCTCTTACTGCATGGCATGGTGGCATACTTGTGAGGACTTTCATTGTGGAACAGGTGCTCTCTCTTCACCCTCCAACAGGTGACTTTTCAGACACCTTTGCGGGACCCACAGACGCACAGGATCTTAAGTCCTAGCATGACCGGCAAACTTGAGACACATTTTGCTCTGGATGACGATGTAGGAATAGAAAACTATCACTACGTCCAGTCACAAAAGGAGAAGTAAGTGTGGGCACTTAGGAGTGTTCAGGCCTTTCTCTTGATCTCTGCTGTGTGTATGTACAGTACCTGGCCCATTTGTTAGTGGAGAGTTAATCATTCCACACTTGGAATTGTTTTAGTTTCATACTTCACTCCTTTGCTGGGCCCTTGGCATTTAATCTTTGCCCCTGTAACTTGACAAAATGTCCTCATCTCATCTCTCCCTTCTGCGCAGTGTCATCATTTAAAGGGAGCAGGTGAAAGTCACAAGCTGTCATAAGATTGACTAGTCAGCACAGGTGTGGCTGAAAGGATCTGGATAATATGCTTGACAGTAGCCAAGAGAAGAACCACTGTAGGCATGTTAGGTATTGGACTGGGGGTGGGGCGTGGGCAGGGAGTGTCGAGGGGCTGGCAGGAGGCCAGCAGGATGGCATGCGGATACCAGGACTGTGCCTAGAAAGGACCATGGAGTTGGCTTTTCATAAGCTGGCACCAGGGTCACGTCTGTCCAGAGCAGGAAGGTACCCACTGACATGATCTTGTTCTTGTTTTGCTGATTTAACTGTTCAAAGCTTTTTTAAACAAAACATTTCAAGCCGGGTGTAGTGGAACATAACTGTAATCCAAGCACTCAGGAGGCTGAGTCAGAAGAATTGTGAGTTTGAGGTCAGCCTGCGCTGCAAAGTGAGTCCCAGCATAGTGAGACCCTGCCTCAAAAAATGGGGGATGGGGGGTATACGATTTATTTCAGATGTGCAGAGAGAAGCATGCAGAACAAAATGTCACTCCTGTGCTCTTCACCTGACTTAAAACATCACCAAGTACAGGTGACATTTCTCTGCCACACGTCATTTGTGTCCTACAGAGGCACCTCCAACCTGAATCTGCTGTATTTCCCATGTGTCCTTTATACTTTACAATTTCGTTTTTGTACTTTTTGAAATTTGATCAGAGATTAAAGCAAACGTGATTCTTTTATAACAACCTCAGGAAGGAAAGGAGAGCCAGCAGATGCTACTCAACTACTGTGAGTCTCATCTGCTTTGAGGCCGGGAAGGTGTTTGCCTCTGCCCTGTACTTCTGGAGCTGACCATAGGCAGAAGGCAGAGAGGGGAGAAAAAGTAGTTCTAAGAGGCATAAGTCATGAGTACCACCTGTGAGTTTATCCTCTGTGGCTGCCATCTTTCCATTTATCTTCTGGTGCTCTGCTGAACTGCATGCTGCCAGGTGGTTTCTGTCATGGAACTCGTGATTTGGTGCTTGACTGCCTGGGTGCTGTCTTCTGATGTAGCTGAAGTCACAGTGCTGCCCACGAGTTGGCCAGGAGGGAGTTGGAAGAGTAGTTGCTATGAGCACGGAGCCCCCGTCAGAGTCACTGAAGTGGCGTCTTTGACCTCGTGATACTGGCCTCTTCCAGCCATGTGAAGGTCAAGTAACACTTAGCCAGACACAGCATGTGTGCCCACCTACATTGTGGTTCTAATCCCCAGCCCTACCCGCTACCCTCCAGCTGTCCGTATAGGGCTTCCTGTCTGCCGGGACTGTGGCCTTGCTCCCTACCACCCAGGCATGTTAGATTTGCGGCACAGCTGGGACAGAGACCTCCTAGGAATGTGAACTCTGTGCCCTGGGAATCCCCATAGAAGCCAGGCTCAGTCTGAAGGCAGCATTCTTGACCTCACCTTCCCTCTTCTCAGTGAAAACTTTGACCTTCATATGCTCTGGCCATGTAGCTGCTGTTCCCCAAGCTAAAGAAGAAAGTAGGGTAGTGAAGAAACCTTTACTGGGACTGCAGGTTTATCAGATGTCTGCTCTGTCTCTCAGAGCCCATGTGACCCCTCTGCTGCCAGCACTGACCTGTGAGATTTAAGCCAAAGGATAGGGTTGATTAAACATTCTTGTTTTCTATCTTTAGCTAATGTTTTCACCTGGGGTGAAATCTAATTGAAAAACTCACAGATTCCTTAGTGTTAACTGTACCTGTTTCTAAAAAGCCTACAGTTTACCAAGGAAGTGGATACCAATACTACCTATGGAATCCTCCAGAAACAAGCAGTGGCCAATGCTGACCCTCCTCCAGGAAACATAAACTCGGCCTTTGAAGATGATGGCTCCAGCAAGCCTGGCTTGGCCCTCCTGGCCCACGCAAGTTCCTCAGGTTCTTTCCAGAGCCCAGAAAATCCTAAAAACTGGGTGACATCTCCAGGACAATTGTCTGGCAGCCCTGGTCAAGCATCGAAGGAAAACATTAGTTCTTATTCCTTGGATAAAAACATGACATCTACCTCTGAGATCCTAGAAAACCCTCCCAAGACAGTGTACCAACACAAGGCAGAGACTCCTCCGAGAGCTCTGGAAGAAAGCTTGCACTACACTGCTTTGACCATGGCTGCTTCACCTCTTGGTATAAGCCCTGAAGAGCCACACAGAGGAATGCCCCCCACAGATGTAGCTGTCGAGCCCCTGGCCTGCCCTGAGGTCATGGGTGGCCCTGAGGTCATGGGTGCCCCTGAGCCAACAGCCAGTGCCCAGCCCCCTTCCCAAGTCTGCTTATCTGGTTCTGAGAACTCAACCCCAGCCAGCCCTCTGCAGGCTGGTGGAATTGTGAACCCAAGTCCTCAGGAAGAAGAAGCCTCTGACCAAATGGCTGTTTCTTCAAGGTGTGACTTCATAAGGCTAGAATTTGACTTCTCGAATGACACGACCAGCAAAAGGGTGCATCCACCAAGGAGACTGGCAAAGAGAGCTGGTGCTCATCCTCCCCTGAGGAGATCAGAGGCAAGGCAGGAGCAGGTCCCCAAGGAGGAAGAAGACAGAGATGGGACCAGAAGGGAAGATAAGTACCTCCAGCCTGCTTCCCAGGGCTCTTACCACCTTGACTGGGACAAACTGGATGACCCAAACTCTACTCCCTTTGGAGGTGACTCCAAGTCTGATGACAAAGAGGCCCAACCCCCAGAAAGCCCCAAGATTGGATTTGCACATCCTGCATCTGAGCAGCTGAGTGCTGGGCCTGTGGCCACTGAGAACTTCCCTCCAAACCAGTAAGTGTGGAAGGGGAGCATGACCATGTGAGGGGCAGCTCAGCTCCTCCACGTGTGTGATCCAGGGCCTGGGTCTGGAAATGCCTCTTACTCCTTCGTGGCCAGCTTAGATTCTCCTTCCCTGGGAAGGGCGAATGGGGCTCAGGTAGATCTTCGGTGAGAGGCACAGCTGCTGGGTCCCCATGTAAGACCATGGAAGGTGCTCTGGAGTTGCCTTAGCCATGGTACAACAACATGTGTACAGCTTAAAGAGGAATAAAACAGCCTGGCATGGTGGCACACACCTATAATCCCACCACTCCAGAGGCTAAAATGAGAATCACAAATTCAGCACTAACGTAGACTACATAATGAGATCCTGACTGAAAAAAATAAGCATAGGCTACCACTCAGGTAAAGACACTGCAGCTGGCAACCATAGCAAGGCAATGTACCAAGCATGTCCCCTCCAGGAGGCAGTTAGAGGTGGGTGCTGTCATTCCAACAGCCAAACAGAGCCTGTTCCACTAGGATAACTTACTCAAGTAACTATGTACCTTTCAGTAAGCACCTTCTCCAGTGAACCAGTGCAGAAGGGAAGTAGGTGGCAGCTCAGTGCTAGAGCAGGAGCCATGGGTGGCAGACAGGCCTCTGATGATCTCTCCAGATCATGAGTCTCTGATGATCTCTCCAGGCAGCTGTGTTTAGCCCCAGCAGATGATACACCTGTCATGCAGATGGCAGCCAAGACACCAGGAGCAGAAGACAAGGTACAGTTGTGTGTGTGTGTGTGCACAAGTGCAGCTCTTTGCTTTCACCACTGTTGCGTATTGTGTAGGAAAGTATGAAGGCAGAAGAGGCCATCAGCAATATTCTGATGACAGGGTGGGATACACCAATACCTCTCCCCTCCCCCAGAGCCACTTCCCCTTTGGGTTTATTTTGAGGAGGTTGAGGAGGTGGATGAGGCAGAGCCCCACCCAAGAGTCCTCCACTGCATGAGGTGACACTGACCTTCCCTCTAGGAGGGAACCTTGAATTTCTCAGGCATTTCATCTACCACAAGCTGTCCGGACAGTGTGCTGACTGCCCCTCCTGCTGATCTGGTGCCTGTGCCTGCTCAGCAGGGTCCAGAGCCTGCCTTGGATCTGAAGGAGGAGAGCTTCAGAGACCCAGCTGAGGGTATGTGGCCTCAAGGTGTTGCTCAGTTTGCTTGAATGGTCCCATAGGCACTTGGTGTTGCTCAGTTCAGCTGTCATTTGCAGGCAATCATTGTAGGCTATTCTCCATGACTATAAATGACTTTTATACAAACTTGAGAACTATCAAAAGAAAAATATTTTAGTAGAACAGGGCTGATACTTTAAAGAAATGGAAAAATATAGACTCACTTAGAAAAATAAGCAGAAGATTGTACAAGGCAATGCACATACAAGACACAAGCGTAATTAATAACTGAGTTTACCCAGTGGCTATTAGAGAAATGCTGTTAAAGTGTGTTCAGTGAGGATTTAGGACTGAATTAAAAGAGGTAAAGTGACTTGGGAAGACTTCAGTCTTCAAGAAGACTGTGGAAGTAGAGTATAGATTCTATCTCTGGCAGGATAATCTCACGTCTTTGCCACATGGATATGCTCAGCCAGGGTAAGCCTGTCACCCCGACATGGGACCTTTGGAGTTGGTCCATGACACACCCTTTTGTATCTGGGTCTGGCACGAGTGTAGCATCTTCCATTCGTTCACTGATGGGCACTTGGGTGATACTGCTTGAACATGTACATGCAAGTTTTTGTGTGATGTGTTTTGGAGTACATACTTATAAGTGGAATTGTTGGGTACTGGTAACTACACTTTTGATTTGTTGCCAGGAGTTTTCCACAGTGACTTCACCATTTTACACTCCTACTAGCAGTGCAGGAAGACCATTCCACCACATCTGAGCCAGCACTTGTTATTTATTACCTGTTTTTGGTGATCCGCCATCCTAGTAGGTGTGAAGGAGTGTCCCATTGTGGTTTTGATTTACACTTCCCTGACAGCTAATAAGCATCTTTTTTGTTTTGTCTGTATGGGGTTTTTTGCCATTTTTTGGGCAGTACTGGGGTTTGAATTCAGTGCTTCATGCTTGCTAGGCAGGTGCTCTACCACTTAAGCCACTCTGCCAGCCCTTTTTTGTGTTGACTGTTTTCAAGATAGGGTCTTTCTTTGGTTGAGGGGGGCTGGCCTCAAACCATGATCCTCTTGATCTCTGCCTTCTGAGTAGCTAGGTGCCTGGCTGTCTTACTATATTTTTGAAGCAATGTCTCCGTGTGTAACCCAGGTTGACCTTGAACTTGCAATCCTCTGAGTGCTAGGAGTTCAGGTGTGTGCTGCTACAGCCCGCTCAGCTCATGAACATCTTTTCAGCATCCTTTCACAGGCTCATTAGCCATTTGGATATCTTTAAGCAAATATCCTTTGCACATTTTTAAGCTGGGTTATCTTTTTAGTAGCTGAATTGGACAGGTCTCTTTACCAGATACATGATTAGAAAATACAGTTGGTGCTCCATGTCCATGGATTCCATATCCTCAGATTGTCAAGCTTGAATATGGTTTTTATTTATTTATTTATTTACTTATTTACTTATTTACTTATTTTTGTAGTGTTGGGATTTGAACTCGGGGCCTCATGCTTGCTAGGCATGTTGTCAACTAGTTGAGCCCCTTCTCCAGCCCAGGAAATATTTTTTTAAGAAACATTTGTGATGTATGTTTATGAAGGAAGAGCTGCATGTGTGCAGCCTGGAGCTAGACCCAGGCTCTCTCCATGCTGGGAGAAGCTGCTAGTCTGGAAGCTGGGAACACTCCCTGCATTTATTTCAAAGAATTATTATGGTACCACCCTGTTGAGTACTTTGGAAAACACATGCAGCCGCCAGGGCCTTGAGTGTGGAAGAGGTGACAACAGCTGTGACTCATACTCTTTCAGTTCTAGGCACCTGTGCTGAGGTGGATTATCTGGAGCAGTTCGGAACATCCTCGGTAGGTATCCAGTACAGCCTTAGCTGAAGTATATATCCCAAAAACAGCCCAGACCACTGTGACCCCTAAAGACCCTTGTGCTTAACAACTTGGAACTTCTTAAAGCACTTGAATTATGACTGGTTGTGTCTGAGTCTGCAGTGTGTCTTTTCTGCAACTTCTTGTCTCAGTGCATTCTGTGGTCCTAATAGCGTCCTGACCTAGGTGTCCATTCTGGAGACCATCCTGGACATGCCATGCTGCCGTGGTATGGCAGTAGTGGGGTGTATTGTGGCCTTGCCGGGGCCCTTTGCCCAGAGAGATCATCCCTGCTCCCAGGGCTGCCTACTGTCTATTGAGACAGTGAATCCTGCTGACTTGCCTCGTCCCTTCCCCGCCCCACACCCCACTTTCTCCCTCTTTCCCCAGTTTAAGGAGTCGGCCTGGAGGAAACAGTCCTTATACCTGAAATTCGACCCCCTTCTGAAAGAGAGCCCTCTGCGGCCAGTGCCCATGGTCCCAGAAACAAACAGGAGGTATGTTCCCCTCCTCCATAAAGCTGTTAGCTTAGGCCAGAGAGGGGGGTGGGTGGCTGTTACTAGGGACATCTAGAAAAGGGCAGCTAGTCTCCACTAGAAGATAAGTGAGTAGGACAAAGCAAGCCTGGAGCCAGCTTTGTATAGCAGACAACTGACCCTCTAGTGAGAGGCCCTGTCATGCTTGTCATGCATGACACCCTACACGGGCAAAAGCTCTAAATGTGGAATAGCAGTCAGCAAACTATGACCATGGACCAGATTTGGACAATGACCTAGGTTTGGGGTTTTTTTTTTGTTTGTGGAGTTTTTTGGTTTGTTTTTTTTTTTTTTTGTGGCACTGAAGTTTGAACTCAGGGTCTTACACTTGCTCACAGGCACCCTGACCACTTGAGCCACTTCACCAGCCCTGCATTTTCTTCTTCTTTTTTTTGTGATAGGATTTTTCAAGATAAGGTCTCCTGAACTATTTACGTGGGGCTGGCTTTGAACCACAATCCTCCTGATCTCTGCCTCCTCGGTAGCTAGGATTACAGGCATGAGCCACTGGCTCCCAGCAGTGGCCTGTTTTTATAAGTAAAATTCTAGGTCCACAGCTGCTGTGTCCGTTTCTTTACAAATCATCTGTGGTGATTTATACTACAAAGGCAGAACTGAATAGTAGCATAGAGGCCATGTGGCCTTCAAACCTGAGGACATTTACTATTTGACATTTGTGGGAAACCCAAAGTTGACCCTGCTTGAAAGGAAATGGGTACAATGTCAAGGAGAATCACTTGCCAAGCATGACATGAAACCCCTGAAGCCAGGGAAGGGAAAGGTTTGCTATCCCCAACTAAGAATTCATGAGGACCTCACAAGGTGTCTGCCACAGTCTGCCATGGGCAGTGAAGCATCACAGGAATGGCAGTGGCTACAGGCAATGGGTTGGCAAGAGAGGAAGGGGCTGGAGCCATTGGAGGTTTCTTGCTTTCCAGGTATAGTTTCTCATTTTCTACGCCCAGCCTTTATTAGTTTTAAAGTAAAAACCAGTCATCATGGTAGGACTTGGGTTGCAGTCACATCCAGCTTAATCCTTGCCCCCACTTCGGTGTTACTTTCCCAGGATAGGACCAGGCCCTTGCATGGCCCCAGTGTACCAAAGAAACCCAATATTGACAGGAGTGACCCTAAAGGAACCTGGTTCTGGGTCAAGGAATTGAAGTGGTGGGGTCAAAGAGGTTGATATTCCTAAAACTTGCTGGACTTGCTGTAAGAAGTGTGGCAAGCAGCAACCTCACAAAGTGACACAGGACAAGAAGGGCAGGGATTCTCTGTATGCCCAGGGAAAACGGCGTTATTACATGAAGCAGAGTGGCTGTGGTGGACAGACCAAGCTAATTTTCTGAAAAACAGCTAAAACTACAAAGAAAATAGTGCTGAGGTTTGAGTGTGTTGAGCCCAACTGCACATCTAAGAGAATGCTGGCTTTTAAGAGATGTAAACATTTGAACTGGGAGGAGATAGGAGAAAGGACCAAGTGATCCAGTTTTAAGCTCCATCTTTTATTTTCTTATGAAGAAAATAAAATTATGAGGTCCAAAAAAGTAAAAACCAAACACAAGCCACTTGTAATCCCAGCACTCAAGAGGCCTGAGGCAAGAGGATCATGAGTTCAAGGCCAGCCTGGGCTACATAACAAGACCTTGTCTCAATAAAACAAACACTCAAGCATAGACCTTAAGACTGAACACTTCTGCCCCTTTCACCCCGCTTGATACTCAGGGCATAAGATTACCTGGCTGCCTGTCTTTTTCTCAGCCCACAGGATGCAGAGAAAGAGAAACCTGCCTCAGGAAACCCTCTGGAAGCCAAGCTTGTAGAGTTTGATTTCTTGGGTGCTCTGGATGTTCCTGTAAGCACTTCAGTGTCTTTGGAGCAATCTTTTTGTGGTCTAAAGAGATCTGTGTGGTTTTGAGGACCTGTGTTTTTACCCCTGCAGGTGTCAGGCCTACCCCCTTGTATCCTTGAGCCTGGAGGTCTCCTGCCTGCTGGGCCAATTGTGGATGTGCTGCAGTACAGCCAGAGGGACCTGGATGCAGCGGTAAAAATGCAGGCTGACTTGGGGAGTAGACATGAACTAGGCATGGATGGCTCTGAGTGTTGGGCCTGGTGGCTGTGTTGAGTTCAACAGCCTCACCTAGCTCTTGCTGCTTGTGGTAGAGAAGCAGGTATCTGCTAGTGTCAACTACTCATTCCCCAACCCCTCATTCTGGCATTCTTGCCAAGTAGCTGATAATTCCAGGTTTCTATCCAGCGTCTGAGCAGGCAGCTGCCCACAGCAGTTCTCCTTACTACAGAGCCAGTAGATGACCCGATTTCAGCCAAAACCTCTATCGCCTCAGTCTCACAGGAACCTCAGGCCTGGAGAAATGGTGGCCCAGATTGTAGTGATCATCTCTGGGGTCAGTCCTGCAGGCCTCCTGTGGCAAGTGGACACATATGTCTCACAGATGAGAAATGCTCTCTTACAAACCTGGGTGTCGTCCCTTTCCTGCTTGCTCCATCCCCTAAGTTCATATGTGTTCTTGAGTAGGTTAGGAAGTTGTTCTTCACCTTCTTCAGGTCTAAGACCCCCTACCTGCATTTCTCACAGCCTCAGCCATCCCTCCGTCCTTAGACATGCAGAGACCTACCCTGGGTTGGTTTTGTTTTGTTTTTTGGAGTGGGGGGGCAGGGCGGTCCTGGGGTTTGAACTTGGGGTCTTGCACTTGTTAGGTGGGTATTCAACTACTTGAGGTATGCCACCAGCCCTAACCTGTTTTCATAGACTCCAAAGCACCTCTCAGAGCCCTGGATGCACACTGAGGGTCCAGTTGCCTCTGGGCCCTGCTTTGAGCTGCCCATCTGCCCAGCAGACTATAAAGGAGGTAGACCCAGGTGGCCCAGGAGAACAGCCAGCAGGGCTGGGCTCAGGCCCCCAGGTCTACTCCAGGGTGGCTTATGGTGATTCCCCCAGGGCAATGTCCTCTCGGGCCTGTATATGCTGACCAGGTCCAAGAGCCCACAACCAGCCCTCTAGCCTTGTAGTCTGCCTTTCTTTCCACTCTTACCTCCTTCTGTGCATATCTGAGGGCCTCACACCCAGCCAGCTGGAATTAGGGTGGCCCATTGGGGTTATGACAAGAAGGCACACTAGAGTACACTCACTGAGTTCCTCCATAGCACATCGCCAGCAGCCCCCACCTGGTTTCATGGTGACCAGAGCTCCTATGACTCAATAACATGGCTTCAGAGACTTTGGGTGTAGAACAGATGGGAGAGCTGATGGGAGAGGCACCCAACAGCTCTGAGTTGTCCACCTGCCAACCCAAGTATGCGGCTTTTACAGGTAAATGCAGTACAGCAGGAAAACCTGGAGCTGAAGAGCAAGTGTGAGGAACTCCATACAAAATACCTGGAGATGGGGTAAGGCTTGCGGCTATGCACCAGCTCTGACCTGGGTCTGCCCAGTGGCCAGCCGCAGACACTCATCTGCCCTCTTCCCACAGGAAGATCGTGGACGGATTTGAGGGGGTTGTGTACCAGTCGATGGGTAAGCACCACCTGCTCCCTCCCTGTTCTCATGGTATCCTCAGCTGTAAGCACTCGGGTGTGGCCAGCCCTGACCCCCAGGCTTCTTCCTGACAACACACTGTCACCTTCCCCAGCCCTCCCTTGTGCAAAGCCACTGAGGGCAGGGTTCAGTGAGGCAGGACGCCTACACAACTGGCACTCGTTTGTCCCTAAGTTGGTAGCCAGGGCCGTGGTTCAGGACACATGCTGTGCACCCTGTCTGTAACCTGCCCCACCATGTCCTGACCTCACCAGAGGGCTGGGTCCAGTGGTCTCTGCAGGTATCAGGCAGGATAGGAACACAGGCTCCAGGCTCCTGGATGCCCCTCTGGGAATCTGGCTTGGGTCAAGCAGTGGCTGGGTCAGGTGACTTCCTGGCTCCTTTTTCTGAGAACCTTAGGACCACACAACCTTTCATGGCTTCACATGGGCCTCACTGACCACATTGGCACCCACCCACCTCCAGGTCTCACTGCGGGTATCCAGGCCCTACTATCTCTAGGCACCTCACAGCTGGGTCCTGGCCCAGGCTCCCTGTGGGGCTGATGTGGAAGAGGCAGGTGTGTTGTGGTACACCTGATTGAGTCCACACCTGCTGTATCCAGCATAGCAACTACCCCCTAATTCCTAGTACTTAACTTTGCTTTAAGAGGAGGCTCAGAAACAGAAGGATCTTGCCCAAGCCAAAATCCAGAAGGTTCTAAAAGAGAGAGACCAACTTACTGTGGACCTGAACTCCATGGAGAAGTCCTTCTCTGACCTCTTCAAGAGGTTTGAGAAACAGAAGGAGGTGATTGAAGGCTACCGCAAGGTATGTTGTGCTGTCCTCAGTCTTAGCCACACTGTGCATAGTACACCACAGTGATGGAAGTTTGTGCCCCATTTACCGCAAGGTGTGTTGTGCTATCTGTGTCTGGTCCTTGGCTGTACTTTCTCTGGCACCAGGGCAGACTGCATCCAGCAGATGCTCGTAGAGGTGAGAGCAGGAGTCGCATGGCACAGCAGGTCTTCTATGAGGCTCAGGTTTAGGAGACGGTAGGAACCCCCACAGAGGGGCTGGGGCTGTAGCTCAGTCCAGAACACTTGTCTGGCCTGTACAGGCCCCTGAGTTTGATCCCTAGTAACACACACACACACACACACACACACACACACACACAAAAACACTACTCCACTCAGCGAGGATTAGTGTTCTTAGGAAATGGGATTTGGAGACTGTGGGGAGGGTAGGTCCTCCCGTGTTGTCTGGTGGGGGTCTATGCACACACCAGCATCATGAGGGTGTTGGCTACTGGAATCCAACCCTCCTGGCCATGTGACCCTTGCCCATCAGCTAGCTTCTCGGTGTGGGAATGAGATGCCCAAGGATGCAGTGGGGAACAAGGCCAGGCACTGGCCCTGCGCACAGCAAAGCTTCAGTGAGCCTGGCAGCATGAGGGTTCAGAGGTCAGCCAGGTCCCAGAGGTACAAGTCTAGAGGCTGACCTGTATTACAGAACGGGTGGACTGGGAATGTACATGGAGAGGCTTTTTCTGAAAGGAAAATGGAAAGTGTTGTATCACTGACATCCCCAAAAGCCTCAAGGGTCTCCAGTCTGCATCTGACCCTGGGGGTGCCTAGATGGTCTGATGGAACAACACACCATTAACAGTTCCTGTCTGCTCATTCCTCAAGAATGAAGACTCATTGAAGAAGTGCGTGGAGGAGTACATAGTGAGGATAGAAAAGGAGGGTCAGAGGTACCAGGCCCTGAAGGCCCATGCAGAGGAGAAGCTCAAGCTGTGAGTACAAGCACAAATCCTGGGGGGTAGGGAGGGCGGACTGGTCACTGGGCCAGGTCCAGCCTTTGCCTCTGCCCCTGCCTCTCCAGGGCAAATGACGAGATCGCCCAGGTGCGCAGCAAGGCTCATGCAGAGACCTTGGCCTTCCAGGCAAGCCTAAGGAAGGCACAGATGCAGATTCAATCACTGGAGAAGACCGTGGAGCAGAAGGTGGGGCTTGGGAACCCTGGGCCTTACAAGTGTGGATCTTGAATCAGGGCTCGAGAAAGACTGGAGCTGGCCTCCCTTTTCAGCCTCCACACCTGGGTCCAGGCGGGTGGGATCTCCCTGGCTGGTCACTGCTTCCTCGGAGCATTCTGCAAAAACCCAACACCTCCTCTTTGCTCCTTCAGACTAAAGAAAACGATGAGCTGTCCAGGATCTGTGATGACCTCATCTCCAAGATGGAGAAGATCTGATGAGAGCCACCACCTCTGCCAGCCTTTTCCTGTCTGTCTGTCCATTCACCCGTCTTGTCTGACTTGTCTTACTTTTGTGTACTTCTCTTGTAACCTTAACTCATTTTTTAAATAGATGCTTTTAAAAAGAAGACTAAATAAAGTTTTTAAGTTCAAACTGAAGTCACCTGGTCCGATCTTGTTTGAGTTTTGTTTGACACAGGGTGTCACTGTAACCCAGGCTGGCCCTTGTGCTGAGATTACTGTGTGGGTCACCACACTCTGATTAGTGTTGCCCTGGTCTTTTTGTTTGTTTTTGATGGTACTGGACTTTGAACTCAGGGCCTTGTGTTTGCTAGGCAGGTGCTCTGCCACTTGAATCATGGCCCCCGGACTTAAGATGAGGGTGTCCCAGCTCTATCCTGAGCCTGAGCCAACCCACTGAGACGGCACCCACCAAGCGTCCTGCTTCCCTGTTCTGGGAGCCTGCCTCCATCTCTATCCCCATTGATGAATGATGAGGGACTGGACAAGCCTAGCCTGAGGAGGCTCACGTCATGCCCAGGCTGCCTTGCCTCTGGCTGGGCAGAGGGGACACCACATCAGTGATTTGGGACTACAGATCAGAAGCCAAATGGACCCAAGAGTTCATGAAAGAACTGGGAGCTAAACAGACTCAATGGTGGGTTTGGTGCCGTTCTGTGTCAAGATGCTAGAGCCAAGGTGCTAGAGCCCCCATGGCGGGGGGCGGGGGGAGAGTTTATAGTTGTGGCTGGTTAACTGCAACAGTCCAGTATAGGGACTCCTCGTGGTGGCGAGGGACATAGGAGCAAAAGAACACTTGCCCGAGGAATGAGGGATCCTGTCTTGACAGCTCCTACTTGACTCCAGCCTGCCACTGTCCTTTGGATGGAAAGCATGCTGTGTGCTGCTACAGTAAGACAGAAAATAACTCCAGATCTCAGTGTCTAAAGGCAGAGGGTGAGTAAGAAGATTTAATTTGGAGCATATTTTTGGTTTCTGTAATCAAATCCACATATTTAATACATTGTATTACCTCTGTACAAATGGGAAAAAAGTAACGTTTCTGGACCAATATTAACTTCTGTACAATGCCAACTCGGTAACTGGGATACTTTTTTCCAAAGTTGACAGCACAGCTAAAGTCTTCAAAAATTCAAATTATATCCGTGTGCATGTATTTATATAAAAAGACCAACAATAGCAGTATGTCATGCATCAGTAGCTTTTCCAAGTTCTACAGTCACCTGAACAAAATTCATTGCAAGAGATCTCCAGCACACACCATTAAAGTAAAAAAAAACTCCAGAAAACAGCAAAGTTCTGCCACTGTTGTGGTACTTAGCACCTTTTTTTTTTTTTATTAGCCCCTCAATCATTATCTGGAAGGAAAACATTCCAGAATAATACCATTAAAAACAGCTCTGATAAAGCCCAGTCACTACTGCATATGGTAAGGCAGGCGTATGATACTTTGTGTTCACAGAGGTGTGATACATTCTGTCCTACGTCTATGATGCAAGAAACACAATCAAAACGACATTTTTTGAGATTTGATTCTACTTTTCCAGCAGAGGGCCCAAAGGATGGTATGACACAACCCTATAAAGAAATGCACTTTCAGCTAGGCACTGGTGGCTCAGGCCTGTAACCCTAGCTACTCAGGAGGCAGAGATCAGGAGGATCGCAGTTCAAAGCCAGGCTGGGCAAATAATCCACAAGGCCCTATCTTGAAAAAACCCATCACAAAAAAGGGCTGGTGGAGTGACTCAAGGTGTAGGCCCTGAATTCAAACCCCAGTACTGTTTAAAAAAAAAAAAAGGAAGAAAGAAATGCTCTTTCTTAGGATTTCCTTTCTTTAGTGGCACAGTTCTAAGTACCCACTTTCTTCGTGAAAATCAGCTAAAAAAAGTTTTTAAAAAGCTAGTGGGGATAAAAACAAAACCACTGAATTCATATAAAGTTGACCAAATGAAGCAAGACTTAACCTAACTAGCATTTTACCAAATCCGTCCTGTTTGAATGGTGAGCTCCTTGGAAGAGAGATGCCAAGCAGTTCTTCAAAGTTTCGGACCACAATCAAAGCACAGCATCATTTCAAACTGAAGCAGTAACCAGACACTGCTCACTTGGATATGAAGAAATATCTCTTAAGCCAACCAGTGCCAATGGGTTCCAGGCCTGGTCCACAGGAGCAAGGCCAGGCATGGCACAGGATAGGCCAAGGGCACACATAGGTCAGTGAGGATTCCAGGGCTCCAGTGCAGCTGCACAGTGCCCAGCAGCCCCTCTGGATAGGCAGTGGCTTGTCCCATTAGCCATGTCCTGGAGCCCCTGGTTCTGGACTTTTAAACTTGGCCTGCCTGGCCCTTAGAACCAGCACGAGGGCCCAGGAGGCATCCAAATGTCTAACCCGGTGGGTCCAGGCAGGATTGAGAACCTGCACTGCTCATGTGCCTCGGGGGGTGGGGGGCGGGGCGCTGGTGCTACAGGGCCCAGACCAGAGAACTCCAGAAGCAGGCTTAGGGCAGAGTAAAGTGAAACCACAGGGCCCTCAGGGACAGCTTCCAGGGCCTGAGGTAGAACCTGAGCCAAAGCAGTCTTCTCTCTCAATGGGGAGTAAGGGTCCAGCCCTGGGAGGTCATATGGCCTGGCAAAGTCCCAGCCCTCAGCCAGGGACACAGTCCCAGGATCTGCTGCAGAGACTTCTCCCTGCTTAGCACCTGCAGGTGGGCCTCCAGTGGGCAGCAGCTATGCATTTGACTACCACCAGGGGTCAATGCTAGCTTGGACCTCAGTGCAGGGACAGAGGACCAGGGGCATGATGCCAAGGCCCTGGGTGGGTCACTATGGAGGCCCAGGGGGGTCTTCAGAGGACAGATTCTAGAGCCAAGCAGCCTGGGTGGGTGTCTAGCCTCCCAGGACTGGGATGAGTTTGTGAGAAAAGTACTGGCTGGGGACAGAAGGCCATGTAGGCCAAGCTAGGCATTGCTGGGGCAGACACCTAACCAGCCTCCGAGGGGACCTAGGGACTCTTTTTCCAGAGTGCACTTTTTTCCAAGTGCCCCAGGCCCTGCTATCATGCTCTTCCGGATCTGTGGGATCTCCTGACTGACCTCCTGGACCATCCCACCCTTCCCCTGCCCCCACAGGGACCCCTATCCCACCTCACTTCTGACAGGCACACTTTTACCCAGGGAGTGCTTAGCTGTTGAGAGCCTGCCAGGCCCACTTCACAAACAGAGCTAAGGCCCACAGGAGTCAGGGCCTCTGGCTGGGAGAGGCTGGCCAGACCCTGGTAGCTGAAGGACCAGGTAGAGTCTTAGAATCTGAAGAAAGACAAGCTACCCCACCTCCTCCTCACCTGTTGGTGGGCAGGGCAGCCTTGTGGGTCAGGGGCCACTCTGCTCTAAAGAGGTCTTGAAGCCAGGTGCCAGTGGCTCACACCTATAATCCTAGCTACTCAGGAGGAAGAGATCAAGAGGATTACACTTCAAAGGCAGCCTGGACGAATAATTCACAAAACCCTATCTCGAAAAAAACACAAAAACAATAAAAGAACTCGTGGAGTGGCTCAAGGTGTAGGCCCTGAGTTCAAGCCCCATTACCCCAAAAAAAAAAGAATGAAGAGGCCTCGGGAGGTGGAAGACTGCATTTGGGCCTCCACCTCACCAGCTTTACCTGCCTGACTTCTCCCAGCCCCTCTAAGAGATGCCCAGGACCCTGTTCCTTACTGGGGCCTCTCTAAGCCAAGCCCAGAGTCTGTCCAGAGAAGGCCCTGTGGGGTGGCTAGACGTGTTGGGGCAGCCGGCCTGGCCTGGGGCTGCGCCGAGGACACAGGCTGCCGGGCAGTGTCCTGGGCTGGAGCCTCTCTCCAGGACAAAGGGGCCTTGTGTGGCTGAATGGGCACTTATCCTGGAGCTTGCGTTAACGGGGTGGTGAGGCCGGGCGGGGGCCCTGGCGCAGGCCCTGTAAGGGTAAACATGACCCCAGCTGGGCACACAGCAACGGGTCTGGACTTCCACAGCCCTGTGTCCCCTGACATTACGCAGTTGGCACCCTGTGGGCTTCATGCCAGGGCAGGAGAAGGGGAGCAGGGAGCAGTCAGGGAAGGCCTGTGTCCATTTCCTCACTGCTGAGTGGGAGGGAGGAGGAATTACCAGAGTGCACGGGAGGTGAGGTCACAGAAACCCTGCCCATGGTGGCTCCACAGTAGAATCCCACTGTTACAGATGGAATGTTTGAGTTCCCCCCAAAATTCAGGTGCTAAAGCCCTCAAAGGGATGGTATGTGGAGGTAGGGCCTGGAAGAGATGATTAGTGACTTTGGGGTCATGAGAGTGACCAGTGATGGGATTAGTGTCCTGATAAAGAGGAAGCTACCAGACCTTCCCCCACATAACCCCTGAGGGGCCGGCCACCTCACTCCACACCAGATCAGCAGCTACTGTTTAACCCCCCAGGGACCCTACTATGTAGGATTTAATTTTGCAGCCTCCCAACAGAACAAGAGCCACCCTCAGAAGGACTACCCAGCCTCTAGTGTGCTTCCTGCCCAGTCATCACAGCCTGGATGGACAGCCCCAGGGGCCCTGGAGAGGCCCGGGCTCCTCTGAAGCCCCATCTGGGACCATTTTGGAGAGGGACTCAAATGTACTCCCTGGGCTGCTCAAGACCCCTTCAACAGGGCTGACTACCCTGCATGTCTCACCGCCCCCCCCCGGAAGGCCTGGCTGTCTCCAGTACCGCCTCTGTCCCTGAAGCCACTGCTACCCTCAGCCCGGGCTGAATCCCAAACACCCTAGCCCTCAGAATCCAACCCAGTGAGGGCTGCTGCGCACTCAGTGGACACCCAGAAGGTCTGTCCATGGGCTGCTCACCTCGCCTTCTGGAAGGATCCCCAATTGGTGTTTGTGACCTAGGCATGCAGAGGTGGCCCCTGAGCTCCTCTACTGGACCCTCCTGGCTGCCGCAGGTGGACTGAGCCTGCATCTCTTGTCCAGATTAAGGAGGTCCCAGGAGGCAGGGCCTGGCAAGTTCCCCCCAAGTCCCAGGACACAGGAGTATGGTAGGAAGTGGGCAACCTTGTCCCCATAGCTGCTGGGCCAGATGGGGCCAGAGGACAGGCTCAGC